TTGCATGCCCTTTTGCCCTGTTGACTGACTCATTATACAGGGCAGGTCAATTCTGACCCACAAGCTGTGGGTGGGCGAAGCTTGAGCACAGCCCCCCAACATTGGTGACACTGGTGCTCTGTGGAGGAGGGCACCAACTGTGGGATGCCCAGATGCTGGGGCACGTGGGAGTCCCCGGCAAAACCCCTTCCCCAGTCATACAACTTTCATACCCTTGGAGGCAGAAAGAAGTGAGAGAAGCTGCTTTCTCTGTGAGCATAGGGTGATCTGTGGGGCCTTGGTGCTAAGCAAGAGGGGGCAGCCTGTGGAATCCATCTGGGGGATGGGCATAGATCATCTGATAAGGACATAACTCTAAGGCTTGCTCTCCACGACAAGGCACTGCCAGCTTTGTGTTTGTGGACTGAAAGAAAAATCCTGGCCAGAGTCCTCAGCAATTGCACCAACAGACCTCTCCCATGAGGAGGAGCCTCCCAACTGTGGCGAAAGAACCCTGAAAAACAAATTAGTGGCTCCTCCTAGTGGCAGATCACGCAACCATAGAAGCACACACTCTAGGGTTGGAGGTACCAGTTGTGATCTACCTTGCCCTTACCACACCTAAAGGGGGAACAGGGTTCAGGTAACCCTTGGGAGTGGCAAGACCCTTCCCAAAGATCGAGCCATGTGTATACCCTATCCAGGGGTCTAGAGCCCAAACACAGATGCATCAGATTACCTTGATAAATGTCTATTCCATGCAAAATACAATCAACAACAGAGAGGATAACCCCATAGCTTAACACAGTGCCTTCCATCTCAAGCTATTAGAGGGCAGTGTAGTCATACACACAAGTGCGATTCACCACGTCAGAGCCTAAGCTGGGGGACCAAACTCTCTAATCTCCATTAGCAAGAGGTGAAGACAAGAGGTCACAGGTAAATACCTCTAAGGCAATCAGGACCTTCGTGCCTCTCCTCAGCACTGTCAAGGAACATCCCTTTGGGGACTTGGAGATAGGGCCATAAACCAATCCCATCATTCCCACTTCTCGAAAAAGTAACCTGATGAGAAAGAATCAGTGAAAGAACACAGGAAACATGAAAGATCAGAGAGAAAAGTCACCAACAAAAGAAATCATTAGACCCTCAACAATGGATACCAATTTAAACAAAATGATTAATATGATGGAGGAAGAATTTCAAATATAGATTGTAAGAAAACTCAATGAAGGCTGGGCACGATGGCTCACACCTGTAATCCTAGCACTCTGGGAGGCCAAGGCGGGCATATTGCCCGAGGCCAGGAGTTCAAAACCAGCCTGAGAAAGAGCGAGACCCCATCTCTACTATAAATAGAAAGAAATTAATTGGCCAACTAATATATATATATAGAAAAAAATTAGCCGGGCATGGTGGCACATACCTGTAGTCCCAGCTACTCAGGAGGCTGAGGCAGGAAGATTGCTTGAGCCCAGGAGTTTGAGGTTGCTGTGAGCTAGGCTGATGCCACGGCACTCACTCTAGCCTGGGCAACAAAGTGAGACTCTGCCTCAAAAAAAAAAAAAAAAACAGAAAAGAAAACTCAATGAAATTGAAGAGAAAACAGAAACCCAACACAAAGAAGCAACAAGAATAACACAGGAAATTGTGTTCTCTAAACATTCTCTAAAGAAATTGAAATATTATGAAACAATCAAACAGAAATTATGGAAATTAAGGAAGCATTTAAGGAACTACAAAATACAGTGGAAAGCCTTAATAATAGAATGGATCACACAGAGGAAAGACTCTCAGAGCTTGAAGATAATGCCTATGTGCTAAACAAATCAGATGAAGAAAAAGAACACAAAAGTAAGAGACAAGAACACAATATATAAGAAATGTGGGATTATGTAAAGAAACCAAATATAAGAATTATAAGTGTCCCAGAGAGAGAAGAAGAAACTACACAAGGGCTGAAAACTCTTGACTTGCTGGTGGAAAATACCTGGCCTGGCCAGAAATGTTGACATCCGAATACAAGAAGCACACAGAACTCCTGGGAGAGTCGATGTGAAATGGTAATCACCACATCACATAGTTCTTAGGCTGGACAAAGTAAACACAAAAGAGGCAATCCTTTAAGCAATAAGATGAACATAGCAGATAGCCTACAAAAGAAAATGTTTCAGACTAACTGCAGACTTATCAACTGAAATTTATAAGCCACAAGGGACTGGGCAACTATCCTCAATCTTCTAAAACAGAATAATGGCCAACCTAAAATTCTTTACTGGGAAAAACTAAGCTTTGTCTATGAGGGAGAAACAAACACTTTTGCATATAAGCAATTACTGATGGAATTGGCAAAGACCAGACCTACCCTGCAGGAAATACAGAGGCCTGCATTATACACCGAACAGCAAAATAGACACCTACCAAACTAAAATCACAGTAGAGTTAAATTCCAGAACCTTGATTCCACGATGGATCAAGAGATAAAATAAAACAATAAGAATGTATCCAACAATATGAACAGATATCTACCCCAAATATCAATTCTCTTAATAAATATGAATGGTTTGAATTGTTCTCTGAAGAAATATAGACTAGGTGAGTGGATAAAAATTCATAAGCCAAGTATAGGCTGTCTCCAGGAAATACATCGAATCCACAAAGATGCTTTCAGACTCAAGGTCAAGGGTTGGAAAACAAACTTCCAGGCAAGTGAAAGCCAAAATAAAGTGGGAATAGCTGTACTTATTTCAGATAACATAAACTTTAAAATAGCAAAAGTAAAGAAAGACAAAGATGGTAACAATATAATGGTGAAAGAAAAAATCCAACAAGAAGACATAACAATTCTTGTGGAGGTTTTTTGTTTATTTTTTTTGAGACACAGTCTCACTCTGTTGCCCGGGCTAGAGTGCCGTGGCATCAGCCTAGCTCACAGCAACCTCAAACTCCTGGGATCAAGCAATCCTTCTGCCTCAGCCTCCTCAGTAGCTGGGACTACAGGCATTATCACTATACCAGGTTAAAAATATATATATATTTTTTATTATATTATATTATATATAATTATCTATTATAACATATAATAGATATGTTATAATTATCTATTATAACATATAATAGATAATTATATATATATATATATAATTTTAGTTGTCTGGCTAATTTCTTTCTATTTTTTAGTAGAGATGGGGTCTCGCTCTTGCTCAGGTTGGTCTGAACTCCTCACCTTCAGTGATCCACCCCTCTGGGCCTCTCAGAGTGCTAGGATTACAGGCGTGAGCCACTGTGCCCGGCCAATGATTCTCAGTATTTATGCACACAACACAGGAGCGCCCAGGTACATAATGCAAATTCTATTTGATATAAATAGCATGATAAACAGTAATGCCATAGTAGTTCGAGATTTCAACACCCCACTGACTAAACTGTACAGATCCTTTAAGAAATTAAGCAAAGAAACAATGGACTTAAAAAGAACTCTACAATAAATGGGTCTCACAGACATCTACAGAAAATTCCACCCAATTAAAACCGAATATACATTCTTTTCATCAGCTCGTGGAACTTTATCCAAAATCGATCACATCCTAGGCCACAAATCAGACCTCAACAAAATTTAAAGAATGGAAATTATGCCATGAATCTTCTCAGACCACTATGATATAAAATTAGAGTTCAATTCCAACAGAAACACTCGCCACTTCACAAAGTCATGAAAATTAAACAATCTATTGCTGAATAACTGTTGGGTCAAGGAGGAGCTCCAGATGGATATCAAAAGATTCTTCGAACTAAATGATAACAGGGACACAAGTTCTCAAAATCTGTGGGAAACAGCAAAAGCATTCCTGAGAGAAAAACTAATAGCATTAAATGTTCACATCTAAAAGACAGAAAGCTCGCAAATCAACAAACTTCTAAACCATCTCAAGGAACTGGAAAAGGAAGAGCAAATTAATTCTATTTTTTTTTTTTTTTTACATTTTGACATTGCCATGGCATTTGTATTGCATTTTATGAAAGAATCAGTCTGCAGTGGATTAGGGGGAGACACAAGCTGGTCCCTCACTGCAAGTAGTTTGAAGAGCCCTGTCCTACATAGCTAAGTCCTGCACACTCTTTAGCTCTGTGCTAAGGTATCACTTTCCCAGGAGGCCTTCTCTGACTGCCCAGACTCAAATCAAATTTTTCCTTCTCTCATCAGAATCTGGGTCATCTGCTCTATTCATCACCGTTGCAGTGTTATTTAAGGAAGGTTCTGTTCACCTCTGCCCTCCAATAGCAGATATAAACTCCACGAATGTGTGGACTATTTTGTTTTTCCTCCTAGTTGCATTCCCAGTGGTTGGCACACAGTAGGTACTTACATAGTATATGGACACCTAATGGGTGCAGTGTGCAACTTCTCAGGGATGGACATGTTTGAATCTGTATCTCAGGTGGGGCAAAGGCAATATAGGCAACCTAAACATTAGAACCCCCATATTATGCTGAAATAACAAAAATATATTGTTTGAAGTGAATGACACCAGACACAAAAGTTCACATACTGTATGATTCTATTTATAGGAAACATCCAAAATAGGCGAGTCCACAGGAAAAGAAAGCACATTGGTATTTTTCAGGGGCTCATGGCAAAGGGAAATGGGGTGTGATTGCCTAATGGGACCTGGCCATAGTTGGGGGGATGATAAAAGTGTTTGGAACTACGTGGTGCTGGTTGGACAGCATCGTGAATGAACATTGCCAGTGCATCTCACATTGTAAATGGTTATTGTTATTTCATTTTAATTTCATCTGAATTTAAACATGTGTATATGCAAAAGAGGGAGCAGTGATGAAGACTTTGGGTTCTAGAGCCAGAGTGTGAATCTTGCTCCTCCACTGACTAGCGACATGAGGTCACACAGCAGATGCTGTGGAGGGGGGAAGGGCTCGGGCTTGCAGCAGGTCTCTCGGAGGAAGGGAGTTGTGCAGGGAGTCGGGGGCCATCGTCTTCGGAGGTGGGGACACTTAGTGACCCTGGAATCCTTTTCCCCCTTTCCCTCAGGCCTTTCAACGAGGCAGGAAGCGGATCTGGTATGTTGGGGCTACTTTGCCCAGACCACTCTCCTGCGGCGTGAGGTCCATGTCCTCAGGTGCCACGGGGCTGGCCAGGGAGAAGTTCTGGAGGATGGTGGTGAAGAAGAGGAACAACTCGTTCCTGGCGATGCCTTCACCAAGACAGATGCGCTTCCCTGTGGGCACAGGAGGAAGATCACCTGTGTGGGCAAGGCCCACGTGAACATTCCTTGCCCTGTGCAATGCCTAAGCCCTGACACCTGTGTCCATGGCAGGATATTTGCCTGAGATTGGCTTTAACTTGCAATTCAGAGTGGACTTTTAAGGGTTTTCCCAAAGCCTTTGAAACTGGGTGCAAATCTTCGGGTGGATATGCCATGTTCAATTTTCTGGAAGCGTGCTTGTAATGTCTGTTAGATTGACCCCCACGTTGACCCTACAGGGTATAGGGACCCACTCTGGTTGATTATTTATGTGTGTGTGTGTGTAATCTACATATATATGTGTGAGCATGTTTCTGACTTAACACTCTTAGTGTTCGTTATTTCTTATATGGGGAGAATGTTATCTAAGAGGGCTCTTGCGAAGTTAAAGGAAATATTTGTGAAAATTCTTAGAATAGCACCTGGCTTGTATTAAGAATTCTATAGGTGTAGTTATTGTGCTGCGTTTGTTTCTGGGGGTGTGTGCTTCTGGCACTGTGTGTGTGTGTGTGTGTGTGTGTGTCTATCTCTAGGTTGTCTTGTAGTTTCCACCTGAGATCCAGAGCTTCAGGAGTTCCTGAAAAAAATCCAAATTGTATAAAAACTTGTGTGTGGGATTGATGCACATGCAGGGGGTATCTACAGCATCTATTGCCTCTCGGAGGTATAAGACACTCCAGTAGCATATAAACCACAGGCTTGGAGAGAAAAGAGAACAAAGGGGCTGAAAAACCTGGGCAGAGTCACAGAGAGCCTCTCCCTTTACTTTAGTGTTTCTTATTTATTTACTCATTTATTTATTCATTCATTTATTTATGTAGAGACAGGGTCTCACTATGTTGCCCAGGCTGGTCTTGAACTCAGGGCCTCAAGCCATCTTCCCACATCTGCCTTTCCAGTACCCGGGATTACAGACTAAAGGCACTGGGCCTCGCATACTTCAGCGTTTCTTAGTCAACAAACTGACCACCTGGGAAAGGCGGCGTTGGGGGTGGGTTTCCAGGTATTCGCCATGCTTTTCAGGCTGCCTTTGTGGAGGCATCCGGGGAAGGAGCCACGTGCTTTGGGCACATCCAGAAAGTAGGAACGTGAGCACGGAATTACTCAGAGCAGGTCTCTGGGCAGGTTCTGTGTCCCAGATTTTTTTTGGAACAGCCTAAGGACAGTTATCTCCCTCTCAACACCCCCCCTCCCCGGGCTGTCCATTTGGACACTCTTGGAATGTCTTTGGCTCCGACACGCTTTGGGCTCAGTTTGCCTCTTTTTCTACCCATAGCCGTCTGCCTCCCTCTTTTTCCCTGTCTACACCTGTCAGGCACTGTTACCCCATCTCTCCCTTATTTTCTTCTTCTTTCTGTGTCCTCCCATCTTGTTCAACTCCCTGTCTCTGTTTCAATGTGATTTTCTTTCTCTCTCTCGTTTTTCATCTTGTCTTTCACCTCCCTCTAAAAATACCTTGTCCTTTCCATGGTAAGACTTGGGGAAAAAATTTTAAAAAAGAAAATAAATAAATAAAAATACCTTGTCTTGTTCATTCTGTGTCTTCCTCTCTACTTATGTCACTCTTTTTTTCCCCCCATCTCTTATTCTACGTCTCTCTCTCCTTCCTTTTCATCCTTTCTCCCTTTGTCCTCCCTCCTCTTTCCTTGTCCTCTTCTTTCTACTCCTCTTCATTCTTCTCCCCATCCTTCTCCTCCCCATCCTTCTCCTCAGTTACCTGTCTCTCTGTCTCTGTCTCTCTTCTTCTCCCTCCATTGTCTCATGTTCACTCTGTCTCTTTCAGCCACTATTCCCATGTCTCCATCTCTCTCTCTCTCTGTGTCACTCCCACTATCTCTCTGCTGCTTATGTAACCACCTCTGTCCTTACTTCTGCACGACTCTCAAAACTTTGAGTAGAACTGCTGAATGTAGGAATTGACCCTCATCCCAATCCCACATGTGTTCCCAAACCATACTGGAGATAAAATGAGAAAGGAGGAGACTATATCGTGCAGATCCAGGGCCTGAGCCAGAGCCCCGGGCCACTAAAATCACTGATGACACTCAAGACTAGGGACTTATCCCTGGGACTTTCCTTGCTCCAAAAATATGAGAAACCTGGATATTGCAGTTTTCCACAGGTGGAAGCTGTTAAATTAAACTACGTTTGGACTAAAGCTGCCTCCATGCATAACAAACTCTAACCTCACATAACATATAAACAAATTGCAAACTAACTTCACAGTGTATCCTTGTAACACGCATTAAATAACTGAGACTTGGCCAACCATTTAGGCCAACGTCAACCAATCCCAGGTTGCAAACTGTTCAGTCAAGTCCGAATAGGGCTGACACAGAGCGGTAACCAATCAGATTGTTTCTGCAAGTCATTTCCTTTTCTGAGGATAAATACGGCCAGGCCACATGGCCGGATGGAGCTCTCTGAACGTTTACTGGTTCAAAGTGCTGCCCAATTCATGAATCATTTCTTTGCTCCAATATACTCTGGTAAATTTAATTTGAACACAGTTGTTCTCTTAAGAAGCCAAAGGATGGGGAATGGGGACCTGGGACAAGTCAGAGCATGTCAGGACCTTCCCTGCCTCCTAGGCTGTAAGTGCTAAGAGTATAAATCCAAACCCTTCTGAAGCCTTCAAATCCTTGCCCAGCTGAGCTCTCCACCTTATTTCCTTCTGCAACCTACACCCCGGGCTCGCCGGGCTTCTTACAGTTTCATCAATGTGCCATCAGGTTTCCACCTTCAGGCTTTGTCCTTGGTCTTTCCTCTGCCTGGAACACTCCTTCCAGAGGCCGAATGGTGCTCGCCCACGAATGTACATCTCAGCGTAGCAGCCAGCTCCTCGGGTGAGCTCTTCCTCACAGACCCACCAAGATGAGTCAGCGTTCCCTATTTTGTCCTCCCAAAACCCCCATTAGAGCACTTGTCACGATTAGGATTAATTATAGTAATAATCGCCCCGTGAGCATTTACTCTGTTCCAAGCCATGCTAAACATGTGGAAGACATTAATTCATTCACTCATATCATGATTCTGTTACTATTTGATGAACACCTTGGAGGGCTGTAAATTTCCTGGGGCGGGAACCACGTAACTGTGTGATTTGTTTGTCTGATGCTTTATCTTCAGCCCCCAACAGAGCACTGGGCTCTGAGTAGGGCTCAACAGAACTTTAAAAAAAAAGAAAAAAAAAATCCCCATAATATGCCAAAATAAAAAAAATAATTAATTAAAAAAAAAAAATGAACTCACTGAAGTTCAGAGTAAAGTTTAAATACTTGCCCAAGGTCCTGCTTGCCAACATGTGCCTTTGGGGTGTAATCTCATTTCTCACCCCCAACTAAGTGTTCCATAAACAAGGACCCATCCCGGCTTGTCTCAAGGAAGAAATGGAAACCGCACTCCAGTATCTGGGAAAGGGGTCTCGGGTCCAGCTTACCTAAGGAAAAGGGAATAAAAGCTTCATTCTTCTTCAGTGCCCCATTGGCATCCAGGAAGTGGTCAGGGTTGAAGGCCTCTGGTGTTTCAAAGTAACGTGGGTCACGGAGAGCAGAGTTCAGGATGGGAAATACTTCGGTGTCCTGAGGGCGGGTCACAAGATCAAAAAATATTCCCATTCCCTGGGCAAGCAACAACCAAAAACCCCCAAAAAAGAAAACCAAAAACAAGGGGACCCTATTCAGAAAGCAACAAAAAGTTGAGTTTTGGGATGAGGAGAACCCAGGGTGCCCACACGAGAGAGACGCAGGACCCCGCTGGGCTCACCTTGGGGATGATGTATCCTCGGAAGTGGGTGTCTTTGGTGACAATGTGGGGCAAACCAAGGGGGATGAGGTCTGCCAACCTCAGAATCTCGTGGGTGACGGCGTCCGTGTACGGCATTTTGACCCGGTCGTCGAGGGCTGGTGGGCGATGTGTGCCAACCACCTGCTCAATCTCCTTGTGGACTCTCTCTGCACAGAAAAGGGGACCCGCGAACCCCATTTCAAAGAGACATTTCAGTGGGGCACTGCTTTCTATGGTCCAATGAGTGAGAAAATAAAACACCTATGCTAAGGAGTTAGATCACTGATACACCTCAACACAATCAGCTTGGGGTTAGGGGAGGAAAGATGAAACAACAAGAATTCTTACCCTTATAAATAAAATAAATGTTAGAGATTCCCTCCCCAAACGCACAGATACACACACACACACACACACACACACACACACACACACACACCGCAATTTTACATGGAATTTCAAGCTAAGATCTCCAGCTACGAATCGGTCAAACCTCTCTCTCTGAGTAGAAAATGAACTAATATTTATTGTATGAGTATTACAGGCGAGGCATTGTGCTAGGTCCTCAGGAATATAATAGTGGAATAGAACAATAGAGTAACCCATAAACAAGTAAATAAAGAAGAGAATATGTGAATCAGTCAATTGCTAGATAGATCAATTCATGAATGGAACGATTGATGAAAGAATGAACAAACCAATAAATGGATATATATATATATAGACATATAAATCAATAGATGGATCAATTACTGAATCACTAGTTAATAAATGGCCCACCATTGAACCCAACTAATGAACCAATGAACCCAACTAATCAATAATTGCATGAATGGCAAGATCTATGGAAGAAGTGAATGAGAAAATTAGAGAGGTATGAGTCAATAAAGGCATAAGTGTTTGGGCAGATTGAATGATAAATAAATCTGGGATGAATAAGAGAGTGGATTATTAAATGAAGGAATGCATGGATGGATGAAGGATGAATTGAAAGACTGACAGGTAGAAGAATTAAGCAATGAAACCTAGTACATGGAAGGGTGGATGGATGCATGAGCAATGAATCCATGACAAATAGTCCATTCAACGTATCACTGTTTCAAAAGATCAACTCATGAATCAATTAATTCAATAAATGAATGAAAGTGTATGTCCTTGTGTGAATCATAGACGAAAGAACCAGTGAGTATGCAGGTGAATTAATGAATAAAAGGATGGTTGGACAAATGGGTCAGTCTTCAAGTGATGTCAAAGAAAGCCAAATATCCCATGTTCTCACCCACATGTGAGTGCTGAAAAATGTGTACACGTGGTTATAGAGTGGGGTGGTAGACAATGGAGACTTGGAAGGGCGAGGGAATGGGAGGGACGTGGATGACGAGAAATTACTTAATGGGTCAAATGTACATTATTCAGGTGATGTATACCCTGAAAGCCTGGCATGACCACTATGCAACCTATGCACATAACAACATTGCACATGTACCCAACACTTTTTTACAAGTAAAAAAAAAAAAAGTTTAGAAATGAAAAGTCTTTAAATAAAGGGAGAAAGCAGTGGGAGAACAGACTGATAGATTCTTCATGCATCTGTGCAACCACCGCCAGATCTGGCTTGGTTGCAGGCCAGTTCAAAGCGTGCATGCTCCTGGAATGTGACCAAAGTGGCTTCTCTCATACAGGCAGGAGCCCTAGCCCTACTTCTGCAGCTCAGAGAGAGTCAAGAAAGACCTCCTTGATTGGCTGTGCTTGGCTCACCTGTTAGATGGGGGTATTTGAGCATGAGCAGGAAGCCGTAGCGCAGGGTGGTGCTGGTGGTCTCAGTGCCAGCAAAAAAGAGCGAGAGCGTGTTGAAGATGAGGTTGTTCTCACTGAACTCACTGTGTGGGTTGGATTTCTCCTGGGTGCAGAGCAGAGAGGAGGGGAGGGTCAGGCGAGGCTGTGGCCTCACTGTGCACACGCCAGTGTCGCTGGGTCCCCTCCATCCGTTTCAGGGTCTCTCCCTCTGTCTGGCCCATTTAGCTTTCCTCTGTCCCCTGCAGGTCCAGCCATGTGTGTCTGTCCCTGTCTCGCTCAGCTCTCTTTGGCTGTTTCCATCTCTCTCCCCATCTCTGGTGTGTTTCTCTTCTGTCTCCCTGTCTCTTTCTGCCTCTGTGGGTCATTTCTTCTGTTGCTGTATTTTTGTCCCTTGTCCTGAATTTCTTCCTCATAGCCAGCTCGCTCTCTCTCCCCCTCCACTGCTCACTTTCTCCTCCCTACTTTCTTGTTCCTTTCATCTCATCTTTCTTTCCCTTTTGCATCTCTGCCCCTCCCTTTCCTATTCTTCCCCCATCCTCTCTGCATCCCTCCCCCTCCCTCTTCTCCCCTTTCCCTCCTTGCTCCCCTCCCCATCATGCACTCCCCTCCTCCCCCCTTTCCCTCCCCCAGACCCCACTTTTTCCATGCGCAGCAGGTAGGCATCTATGAGGTCCCGGGGGGCAGTGGGGTCCAGGGTTTCCCGGTGCTCTTCCACACTGCGGGCAATGAAGGCACTGATTTCCCGCAGCTTTTTGCAGACCTGCCTGTGCGTGCCAGGAAAGAACTTCAAGAAGTCAGAGAAGAGCTCAAACAGCTGCAAGAGAGAGGGGCAGTGAGGTCAGCCTGGGGCAGGTGACACAGAGAAAATCTCAATACCTCAGTCTCTCTCTTTCACACACACAAACACATGTGTATCAATTCTGTCTCTCGGGATCCTGTTATCTCTGCCCTTCTTTTCCCTTTTCTTCATTCATCTTCTCTCCCTCCCAAACCCTCATTTTCTTAGTCTTCCTCTGAGTCTCTATTTCTGCCTCCCATCACCCTCCATCCTTTCCCTCAGTCTCTCTGTCCCTGTCCCCAGGTCTCAGCGTCCCTGTCTCTCCACGTGTCCCTGCCTTTCTTCCAGGAAAAGCTGCATTTCTGGCCCCTCATAAAGATCATCCTTGCCCTTGCCCGGGATGTCACCTCATCCACCCTCCCTGTACCTCTCCCTCTCCCTGACCTGGCCAGAGAAAGAGCAGATGTGTTCGGAAGATTGGAAGAGCAGGTCCAGCAGCCTCAGAAATTCTTCATCTTGGTAGTGGAAGCGTTTTCCAAAGACAATGGAGCAGATGATGTTGGCAGTGATGCACTGGAGGAGGAAGGTGGGGTCTAGGAGGGCTCCTAGGAGGAGGAAAAGGAGGTGACAGGTCAAGGGACATGGACTTGGAGGCCTGGAGAACCTCTGGCTGTCCCCACCCTATCTCTATGTCACTGTCCAGCATTGCTCAGTCATGATAAAGACAAGAATAACAACCAGATCAGCTAACACAAACCAGCACACATTCTGGGCCAGGCCCTATTCTAAGCACTTCACATGCTATTTTATCTGCTCTCACCACAACATGGTAAAGCAGGTACAATTCTATTATTACCTCCATGTTATAGATCGGCGGACACAGAGGTTAAGTATTTTTGAGCAAGGTTACACACCTGCTCAATACGGGGACCAGGATTCAGACTCAAGCAGCCCAGCCACAGAGTCTGTGCAGTTTGTTGGTCCTCACCCTGCATCTCTGAGCTAAGAGGGTTAAGTCCCAGTGACAGGGATAAAGAAGAGTAGATGTGCAATCAATTCACTGTGCAAATTTAAAAGCTCTCATCTCTCTATCCCTACTGTGACTCCCCGTTTGTCTCTTCTCTCCACACCTGGGGCTCTCTGGGCATCTGGGGAGCACCCAAGAACAGGTCTGTCTGTCTCCTCCTGTCTTTCTTCTCAGTTTCTCGGTCCCTGTTATCCTATTGTCCCCATGTCTCTGCCTCTCCTTCCCAGAATCTCTTGAGATATGTCACAAAGAGATGGCATCAATGAGATGCAAATGCTAACAAAGGACCCTGTCACCTATATGTCCCATAAACACCCATTTGTAGAAAATTTAAAAACAGGGGCTGAGCATGGTAACTCATGCCTGTAGTTCCAGCTACTTGGGAGGCCAAAGCAGAAGGAACACTTGAGACCAGGAGTTTAAAATGAGCCTGGGCAACACAGAAAGACCTCCATCTATAGAAACATTTTTTTAAAACTTAGCCAGGCGTAGTGGCTCACACCTCTCGTTCCAGCTACCCAGGAGGCTAAGTAAGGAGGGTCACTTGAGCCCAGAAGCATGAGGTTGCAATGAGCTATGGTGATGCCACTGCACTCCAGCCTGGGCAACAGCCTGTCTCTAAAAAAAGTTTTTTAAATAAAAGAAACAAAAGACAATGGAAAGTGCTTCTTTGATGGCCCCTCCAGCTGCCCAAGAAAAGATGCCCCGACTTGGCCTCTTTCCTCATCAGCACTTAGGCAAGGGGAGGGAAAATAAAAAAACACAATTAAATATCTTCAAATTCTCTGCAGTTTTTCTTTTTCTCTTTTTGCTTTCCTTTATTTGATTTCTGTTTTCACCTTTGACAGATACAATTAATCCATGAATTAGTTTTCCTGAGCCCAGTAAATAGCGCCCTACTCACTAAGTATATGTCTTTGGATTGCTCTTGGACATTACACAACTCACAACTTCCTCTTTCCCAGGCTGTCTGTGTTTCTATCCTACCCATCTCTGTCCCCTGCCAGTCCCCCATCTCTCTCCCTGTCCCTGCCCCTCTGTCTGATGGTCTCTCGGGCTCTGGCTCTGGCCCTGCCCACAGATACCTCTCTTTCTATTGCTGTTCGCCCGCACCTCTCTGTATTTCACTGTCCTTCCTGCCACCGCAGGACTCACCCTTGGATTTCCGCAGCTCCTCCACCAGGCACTGAGCCTCCTCCTGAATCCGCTCCTCCACGCTCCGCTTCCCCATCCCGAAGTCCCTCATGGTGGCCAGAGAAAACCGCCGGAGGGTCTTCCAGCGGTTCCCGTTGGAAAAGAACACGCCTGGGGTGTGGGGAGGTGTGCATGGCAGAGGACATTGGAGAGAGGCTGTGGGATCCTTTCCACCCATTTCCCCCCGTCTCTGATGCCTCTTCCCTCCGGCCCTGCCTTGGAGGCTCTCACCATATTGCTGGAAGACTGGCTCAAGGATGGCGATTTTGCCCCGGCCTGAGAAGTCCTCAGCCTGGTCCACCAGGGCCTCCTTTATGGCCTCTATCCCACACAGCATGACCACGGGCCTCTGTCCCAGGTATACCGTGAAGACATCCCCATATTTCTCTCGGAGCTGCCAAGCGCACCCACACCCTGGGTTACATGAGTCAGCACAGCCCTCAGTGGTCAAACTGTGAAACACTCACACAGCAGACTGGTAAGTAGCCGCCTTCCCCAAGACCCTCCTCCCTAGGCTGCCCTTCCACCTTCCCGGGACTCAGCAACTAAACAGTAAACCCATGGCCCAGCCAAGGTCTGCTCTGATTTGTCACTGCCCTAAACTTTGCAGGTGCTTAAATAATTTTAATGTCATCCCCCCACACACCCTTGAGTCTGGCCACATCTCCCTGGCAGCTCAACCAAAGAATCATACTCAAAGAATCATACTCCTTGTGATTAGCAGTTTCACTTTCTGCAGCTTCAATTACCCATGGTAAGTTGTGGTCTGAAAATATTAAATGGAAAGTTCCAGAACGAAACTCACAAGTTTTAAATTGCGCACCATTCTGAGTAGCATGATAATACCTCATGCCAACCAACCCACTCTGTCCCACCTGGAATGCAAATCACCCTTTTGTCCAGCATGTCCACACTGCATATGCTACTCACCTTGTACAATGTGATTGTATAGGAATAAACACAGAACGTATAGCGTTCGGCACTATCCGAGGTTTCAGGCATCCACGGGGGGTCGTGGAAAGTATCCCCCATGGACAATGGGGCACTATTTTGTAGCTGTGGGAAACTGCTGGCAGTGTTTTCTGAAGCTCAACATATGCACAGTCAGTGACCCACCCATTCACTCCCAGATATGTATGCCCAACAAAAATGTGTATGTATATTCACCAAAAAAATGAACAAGGATATTCATAGAAGGCTTCTTAATAAAAGGTTCATCAACATAAATATAGAGTATGCCATGAGGGATTCACACGATGGAATATTAGACAGTGGCAAAAAAAGGAGCAAACTGTAGCTACACCTAATAACATGGATGCAACCCACAGACATGATGTTCGGTGGAAGCAACTAGACACGGAAGAGTCCCTGCATCACAATTCTGTTTATAGGAAGTTCAAACACAGATAAAACCAACCTATGGTGTCAGGATAGTGGGAGGGTAGTGACTGCAAGGGGACAAGAGATGGCTTTCTGGGGACTCCGTTGTTGCTTCGTCTGCATGTCAATTACATGCGTGTGTTCGGTTTGTGAAAATGTATTGATTGAGCCGTGCCCTTTTCAGGGTGATGTTCAACTTCAATAAAACCTTGACATGAAAATCATAAAAGTGGTTGAGTTTACTTAAAACTGTCTCACATTGATCTCTGCAAAGCCCGTTCACTGCTCTCCATGCTTCCGTCCTTACAGTCCCGATGGTCATTTCACTGCCCTCCAAGTCAGAGTAATTCTATTAAAAAATGTAAATTAGTTAATGTCCCTAACCCTCACCAAGGCCTCCAATGCTCCCTCTTTGCTTGAACAAGATCTGAAGTCCTCATCGTGGCCCACATGGTCCTACATGATATGGCCCTGATATGCCTCTGACTTCTCCTCCTACTCACCCATCAGCTCCCTGACCCAGCCTGTACGTGTTCCCTGAGCTCTTCCTGCTTCAGGACTCTGTCAACAACACCTGCCTTCCTCCGGTGCCTTGCGCTTCAATCTTTCAGCGTCCCTGCCCAGAAAAAATCAAGACACGTTCTTTCCCTGACTACTCAATCAAAAGGAGCTCCCACCACTTTTTAAAATATCACCCTGTTTTATTTTAACCATAGCTCTTGTCTACCTAACATTTCCTGATCTGTTTATCATTTCTTTATCTGTCTCCGGCAGTGGAATGTGCTTGACATGCTACGCCTTGTCCAAGATGACACACCATGAATTCCTAGAAAATTCCCTGTTGTATACAAGGTGCCCAGTAAGTTATTATTGAATTAGTAAATAAGTGAATGAGCTGATTAAGGGTAGCCACCATTTAATGAGCACTTATGATATGCCAACTCTATGCAATATCCCATTTAATCCCCACGATCACCCTTATGAGGCACACATAAGGTCACCATCTTATGGTCACCATCTCATCTGACAGAAGAGAAAATTGACATTCGGTGAGTAAGCATTGAATCTGGGACACAAGCCCACATCTGTCTGCCTCCGAAGGGATTTGGAGGCTAATTGGGAAACGGAAAAGAAACAGTGCCACCCTCCCCAGCCTTCCTATTGTGATACACATACACCCATGCCCCCCCTCTCTTCCCCTTCCCTGCAAAAATGCAATCCTAATGGAGGATTATGGATACTCAGATGATCCTTGGAGGGTCCATGGAAGAGGTTTAAGGGGTCTGTGGACTCCCCAAATTTTATGCAAAAAATGTGTGTGCATATTTGGAGAAGAGGTGGTTACAGCTTTAATCAAATTCTCAAAGGATTTAGTGATCCCCAAATTGTTAAGTGGCTTTAGTCTAAGAGGACTTTGGAGACAAAGGGATGTCCAGCTTCCCCTCTTACCAGCTGTGCAACTGTGGACAAGTGCCTTCGCCATGCTGAGTGACACCATCCTTACCTGTAACACAGGGGTGACACCTCACCCCGCCCACAGGGTAGTTGTAAATGGGACCCGGTGAACTCCCACGACAAGACAGATAAATCCTAGCCACATGACTCCGAGTGAGAAAATTAAGTCCAAGGATTTACACAGCAGCATGGCACCCTTGTAACACATGGAAAACAGTGAAAACAAAATAATATGCATTTGGGGCCTCCAGCTATCTCTATGTGAACCGTTCTACAGGAGTCGCACACAATGTGCCTGAGAGATCGGTCCTCGTGGTGTCTGAGGACCACCACTGGCCATCACCAATGGCGATCACCTTTTCAAGGCCACCGTTTCCATGGCACCTGCGAAAGCAGAGCGCTTTGACTCAGGGGCCGAGGCTCTCAGTTCAAGCCCTGCCTCTCCAGAGCTTGTGTGAAGGTTCCAGCCGGGAGCGCAGCTACTCGTACACCCTTGATGGAAGAACGCCCTCCCCTCTCCGGGAAGGTCGCCCTCCTCCACCCAGCGCGCAGCCAGATCAGCCCAATCCACTCTGGCCACCAAAGGGGTGACGGATGTCGCAGCCAGATGGTCCTCACATCCAGTCCTGCCTCTTAAATAAACCTTTTCCGGACCCTCGAATGATCTTAACACTCCTATTTCTTCTTGTGTTCAGTGCCATCCAGGTAAGCAATTAATTCACATCTAATTATTTTTTTTTTTATTTATTCAGGATAGTATGGGGGTACAAACATTTTGGTTACATGTAATGCGTTTGCCCCGCCCAAGCCAGGGCTGCAAGTGGGTCCCTCCCCTATACAGTGTCCGCTTCCATTACCGTAGTTGTGGATTTACCCCTCCCCCACACACCCCCTATGGGCACCCAGTGAGTATTACTACCACGTGAACACCTTAGTACCAGTCAGTACCAAGTTGATGGCGAGTACATATGGTGCATGTTTTTCCATCCTTGTGACACCTCACTTCAAAGGATGGGCTCAGTTTCTACCCAGGATAATATAAGAGGTGCTAGATCACCATTGCTTTTTGTAGTTGAGTAGTACTCCGTGGTATAAATATACCACATTTTATTAATCTACCCATATATTGAAAGGCACTTGGGTTGTTTCCACATCTTTGCAATTGTGAATTGTGCTGCTATAAACATTCGAGTGCAGATGTCTTTATTATAGAATGTCTTTTTCTCCTTTGGGTAGATGCCTAGTAGTGGGATTGCTGGATCAAATGGTATTTCTATTTTTAGCTCTTTGAGGTATCTCCATATTACTTTCCACAGGGGTTGTACTAACTTGCAATCCCACCAGCAGTGTAAGAGTGTTCCAATCTCTCCACATCCACACCAGCATTTGTTGTTTGGGGATTTTTTGATAAGGGCCATTCTGCCAAAGCATATTTTCACTGGGCAAAAGAAGACCTTCCTGACCCACCTACTGATGATGACCAAACTTTTCACAATCTCGAGCACAGAGATTGAGTCTTTTGGAAATGACACCAGAGAAAGACTTCCCTGGATCTCTGTCTGAAGGGACCATACCAGGTTCTCTACAGCACTATTTAAGGACTTGTGTCTTGGATGCACATCTCCCAATTCAGAAGAGCCTTTCAAGATAGTTGGAACTGTACACCTGTTGGAGACCTTAAGGTAAAGCAGACCAGGGGGGTTTTCCCCAGAAGGAGATTTCTGCCTATATGTGCGTAGCTTTCCCAAGATTGCAAATAAAGACCTCTCTGCCATCATGAACACATCATCTTATATTATCTTCCCTGTTTTCTGAAGTTTAATCCTTTCCCTTTCCTTAGAAGAAAAGCCATGAGTGCATAATCTGGGGATGGCTTCAGCAAAGCTTTATTCTTTAGCAAGAAAACTGAGCAATTGTTGGGTGTGTGGGCTAATGGCCCCAAACCAAGAAACAATTCCATCAATGCCAGTTCCTCTCTCTGTTCCTAATGAGTCACTCTGAAACCCCCAGGAAAGAGTGGAAAGCTATCTTGATACTCTAGACACCACTGCTACTTGCTTTTCTACAACCACAGGTAATAGTACCCTGACCTTTCCAATAAATGACCTAATTGCCACCAAGTACAGAAAACCTATCTTAGTGATGCCTGCAAAAGGTCTATTGCGCTTCCAGACAACACATGGGTGAGACCTGGGGACTACCTCTGGTGGCTATAAATAATTTCTTATATAATGTTATTGGACTAAGTCCAGTAAGGTCCCCTTCCACTAAATGTGGTTATGCACCCTTTCAGCACGTTATCAAGACATCATTTAGACCGGCCCGGTGGCTCACGCCTGTAATCCTAGCACTGTGGGAGGCCGAGGTGGGCAGATCACTCGAGGTCAGGAGTTCGAAACCAGCCTGAGCAAGGGCGAGACCCCGTCCCTACTATAAATAGAAAGAAATTAATTGACCAACTAATATATATAGAAAAAATTAGCCGGGCATGGTGGCGCATGCCTGTAGTCCCAGCTACTCAGGAGGCTGAGGCAGGAGGATCGCTTGAGCCCAGGAGTTTGAGGTTGCTGTGAGCTAGGCTGATGCCACAGCACTCACTCTAGCCTGGGCAACAAAGTGAGACTCTGTCTCAAATAAATAAATAAATAAATAAATAAATAAATAAAAGTAAATTTCCCACTTGACCTTGTCCAGGAACTATGAGAATTACAGCAAACACATTTAACTGACCTCTGCTCACATGCCTCTAGGTGGCCCTGTTTTTCAGTCCCCAAGGGCTTTATTGGGTCACACGAGGATTTGTTTGCCCTGTTGTGCCTCTTCACTGGCTCAGATCTTGCTATTTGGCTTGGCCCACTGCCGCTTTCCATATAGCTTTCCCTAGCTAATCACTGAAGCTCACACTGTAATCCCAGCAGACTGGGGAGCCAAGAGGGGAGGATTGCTTGAGGCCAGGATTTCCAGACCAGCCTTTGCAACAAAGAGAGACCCCATCTCTACAAAAAAAGAGAAAATCACTTGGCATGATGGCATGCACCTGTATTCTCAGCTACTCAGGAGGCTGAGGTGGGAGAATCGTTTGAGCCCAGGAGTTGGAGGCCACAGTGAGCAGTGAGTACACAACTGCCCTCCAGCCCGGGCAACAGGGCCAGATGCTATCTCTAACAACAACAAAAACCTTTTCCTGAAAGTCCCCATCGTACCTCATATAATTAGAAGCCAAAGAAGTCAACAACTGAAATTAGAACTAACTGCAAAATAGATGAATGTAAATTAGTTTCTACTGAGGAATGTTTCAAATGAGGTTCATGGGGGCTCACTCTTGTGTGGTGCCAGTTGTATAGAATTTGAGGCTAATCCACAAATTGAGAAACAGGTCTTGGTTTTTACAGCCAATCAGACCTTTGCTGTCATTCAGACAGGTAAAAGCCACTCTCTGAAAGGTGGATGAGAACATTTGAGTTCAATCAAAACATTTGATGGAACATCGTACAGTTTTAGATCGTCCCTTTGCTCGTGTTGGGGCTCGTATACGGTGCTGAACAAAACCAAATGTTGCGCTTATCTTTCCCCTGATTTTACTACTATAGAAAACTTAAAAGGACACTGATACTTCTTTTTCTCTAGACACGGTCACCAAATGCATTAAGGAAATGTCTCAGAGGAAATGAATACACTCATGTATTTAGGAGAGCAACTAACAGTCAGTTTGCGGCTGTCCTGACTGGTGAGTGGCAAGCAGGCTTCTTTGTGGTTCTTTATGTTTCTTCTAGTGGATCTCCAGACTACTGTGCCTTGTGTGACCAGGCTAACTATACCTATGGATACATCATTAAATCGGGCCATTCAATAGCAAACTATGGTCCTCAATCACCATAATGCCCCAAACAAAGCCTGGGGCCAAGTGGAGTCAAATGTGCTTGAACTATTTTTATTGCCTGACCTTTGTTTTGTTTTGTTTTGTTTTTTTGCCCGCCCTTTTTAAAAAAATTATCTGTTTATTTTTCCAGTATATTATGGGGGTACAAATGTTAAGGTTATGTATATTTCCC